ATTATGTGTTAGTTATTGACTTAAGTGCTATTGTTTTTAATTATTGCATTTCAAATTTTGTATAGAATAGAAACTTTTAAAATTTGCAATATGATTTGAATTTTTAAATAATTAGTCAATTAATTTTTAAAAAAGAAAAATTTTAAGAAATTTAATATTATTTTATTTTTAATAGTGATTATCGTATAGTGATCAATAAAAATTCGTTAATAAAAAGTCTTCAGAGGTGAACAGAATTTTAATTTTTATTTTCAAATTTATTTTAAAATTAATTTATTCATTGCTAATCTTTATTGACAAGGTGTAAAAAATTTTTTTTATTTGATTGCGTAAAATTTAGCAATTTTGCAAATATTATAGTGAATGATTTGAAATTTTCGATATATAATTAATAATTAATATAATAAATCGATTTTCGATATTAATTACTAATAAAAGTCTCATATTTTTATAAGTAAAAATGGAAAGATATTAGGGAATTTACAATTAAATTTAAAATTATTTAATAATAATATCGTAAAAAAATATTATTTTATTGGATATTAAAATTGCGAAAAATTTTTAACCCAAATCCGGTGTTGTGAAGTCTTAGTCAATGTTATAATAACAAACTATGATAGGTCGCACATACATTCTATTCTCACAACATGAACTCGTCTAGGATTAAAAAAAACCTTTCTTTTCTTAATTTTCTATAATATAATTTCTCGTTAATCCTTAAAAAAGCAATTTTACAAATTGAATTCTACATTTCGTATAAATTCTGTAAAGAAAAAAAAATATTAATTTAATTTTTAAATTCAAATATTTTATTTATATTATAAGTATATGTACTTATGTGTTTGAGTCCAGACAAAAATTTGAATATTTGAAAAAATTTAATAATTTTCTGAAGAAAAATCTCAATTATATTAAAATGCCCTTATCTCAAAATTATTGTAAAATATTGCACCACATGCCACATTTATATTAAAAAAGAATGTTTGTATGCATTATACAAGCTTAAATCTTGACACTACAGACTATTCCTGCTTCTCCGTTATTAATAAATTACAATCAACATAAAATTATGAACTCGATTCAAAGTAACAATTGGTTCGAACACAACACTAATCCCTATTCGGACTTAAATTTACAAAATATACAATACAATAATAATAATAGAAAATCTTTGTTAACCTTGAAACCATTTAGAAAAAATAAAAATTCTAAGAAAAAACTTCTTGAAAATTCAGAGCACGTTCCAAAAATATTTCACTTAATATAGAGGCGCTTATAAAAAAGCATACGAAAATTTTTACCAATTTATAGAATAAAAATATTAAGTGACTTAAAATAATTATTATAATTTCTTTAAGACTTTTTATATTATTTAAGTTTAGGTAGGTTCTTTCGTTATAGTTGTATAAAATGTACAAAATAAATAAATGACCAGAAAATCGTATATAAGGTAAAATTGTGAAAACGTAAAAATCTCATAAATCATTGTGAAGTAATAAATAAAAAATTGAAAACGAAAAATTTTTTATAGTGTTCCCAAATATAACAGAAGATTTTTTTTAGTAATTTTATTTATGTTCATTGCATATACAATCGTCTGTAACTGTAAAATATGGGGTTAGAAACGGATGTTTTAATTTTCTACTCCTTTACTATTATTCTAATTTTTAGCATTTTTCCAAAAATTTTTTGAAAAAAAGTGCTTATTAGTTTCACTCTGTCCGTCCGTCCGTCCGTCCGTCCGTCCGTCCGTCCGTCCGTCCGTCCGTCCGTCCGTCCGTCCGTCTGTCCGTCCGTCCGTCCGTCCGTCCGTCTGTCAGTGTGTCTGTTTACAAAACTTCTACACCCTTGAAGATAGAAAGCTGAAATTTTATATGTACATAGATCTTTACTAGAAACTTATTTCTGTAGAACAAAATTTTTACCTATCTCCTCCCCTCTAGAAGTTATACCCCCCCAAAACCCTAAAAATGGCCTTTTTTAACTATTTGTTGCAATGAAACCATAAGCATTTTTGAAATTTTGCAAACGCAGAAAAGCAGCGGCTTGCTTCCCCTAGCGCGGCATACTATATTTGAACTTTAGAAAAACAAAATGGCCGTTCAAATTTACCGTTATCTAAAATCCTTTTTTTGCAAATTTTTGATGTCGTTTTTTTTCCAAACTACAGCCTGTAGAAGCTTGAAATTTTAGGAGCTTCTAGACATTATCAAATAGTTCATTTCGCTAGAAGAAAATTTTTTTCCATCTCCACCCCCTCTCAAGTTATCGCCTCTTGAAATTTGTAAAATTTGAATTTTTGACACCTTATATTTCCGAAACCGCAAGCTTTTTCAAATTTCTATTAACGCAAAAAGTTAACGGTAAATTCCATGAAATTAAAAAATATAATTATTTTTCTTAACTCACAAAATTAAACCTTAAAATCGAGCATTATGTTAACCCCACTTTATATTAATTTTTGCTTTATTTCAAAGACTGCATAAATCATTCATCCTAAATATATGCAACCCTAGAAATAGTTTTGTATATGAATGAAAATAATTTTAATAGTGTGATAGGTACATAGACTACATAGACTGTATTTAAAAGCAAAATTTTCATTTGTTGAAAGGAAAAGTGCTACAATACAAACCATTGGTTTGACCCAACTTTATTATTATACACATTTGAAGATGACAATAAGAAAATTTCCCGAGGGCAATAACACTACACAGTGAACATGTATAATAGTACTTTAGGCACAATGTACTCAATTTAATGGATTGTGAAAATTGAACCCGAAAAAGAAATGATAAATAATTTTTACACCACATTATTAAAGAGTACTTTCATTTTCAAAGCAAAAATATAATTACTAAAGTTCTTAAACTTAAACATTTTGAAAGTAGTGTAAGACTTGTAAAATTTTTGAAATTTGTTCCATAAAATTCTTGTCTTAAAACATTTTATTTCTAAAAAAGATAATTAAAAGTGACTTCCATTATGAAATTAGCCATTAAGTATTATTATCTTTGGAATAAGTTTCAGGATTTAGACGAAATTTTTAATTAAGACTAAAATATTTTACATTCATATTTACTTAATGAACAAATCCTTAAGGTATTTTTTTTTTGTGCATAAAGTGGAATATTACATTTATTATTTTAACATATGATAATATGAATGTAATCCTAGAAAGTAGAACGTGCTAAATGCAGAAATCAAATTTAGAAGAAATTAAATATGAAGCTTGTTGTTTCAAAACTGTTTATGATTTATAAAATATATTATGATTTAGTACATTATTGCCAAGAATATAACCAGTATAATCTATAAATATAGGAGAGTTAAACGGAACAGTAGTTGTAAATATAGGCTATAATTATGAATTTATCTTACGTTGAAAACATTCGCAATGGGAAGTGGCTGATATAAAATTTACTGATCATATTTCAACGGTTTTATTTGATGCTCTGTTTAAGAGAAATATCGAAAAATTTAAAATCAGTAGAGCTTTTTGATTAACAGCGGTCAACTAGCTCCAGAAAAAACTGTTGTTTGCAATGAAATCTTGCAAAATTCATCTTAATCCCTGTCATTTTAAAATAATTACTAAAGCGGTATTTCTCTTAAAACTGTATTGCCTGATAATTTGGGATCTGCTTTAGGATTGTGATTTAGTTATTTTATAGTATTAATATATAAACTTTTTCTAAAAAATTAAAATAAATTAACTTAAAACATTTTGATTCTTAAACTTCTGGCCAATTCATTCCTTTAAGATAAAAGTGCTTTAAGCAATTCTGTATGATTTTTTTATTTCCACGAAATATGACAATATTTTTAATTTATTAAAGTAATTTTTGTATTAAAGCAATTTTTATATAGAACCACAAAAATTAGTTTTTTTAGGGGTAACACACAAAATTCGTGCGAATATTATTTTTTGATTACCAATTGAATAAAACTGAAGACAGTGCATAATAAGATCTAAAATTTTGTTCACTCCAAGGTTATACTTGAAAGGTGTTTTAGCCTAAGGGTTGTTTACCACGAAAAAATAGAAAGTGCGTTTTCATTTAAAATGTTTTACAAAAAATCAATAAAAAAAAAAGAAGAAGAAAATAAAAATTTATAAAAATCGATTTTCAAAATTAAATTTTTCATTTCGTTTTCTTGTTTGTCATAAGATTATTATCCTTTTTCAAGGACATTGTTTTCCATTTAAAATATTTCTTTTTATTTTGTAATTGTTTTTATTCTTTTTCTTTCTTCTAATAAATTTATGTGCGGTTTCATAAATATGATGGATAGGTTCCCTTCCAGTGTTGTCTTCTAACTATACGTAGCTGTATAATTATGTATGTAGGTGCCTATTACATGTGCTTACACACATTATTTTCAGTATTTATAAAAAATTAATGGTATTTATTACATACATAAGTATTAAATATTTATTATTAAAAAAATCTTTATTAAATATTAAAAATCATATTAATCAAAATGCATGTACTTATAAGGACTTGAATATTTTTTTTTCCATAGAAAATACTGAAAATGTTGGCCTATATATTATGTGTATCTCATATGAAAATTATTAAATAAAAACATTAATAATAATATCCTTATATATTAAAAAGGATATAAAGAGAATAAAATGTGTATAATACTTAACATATTATCAAATATACATTTAATACCAACTTACTTAAATTTACACACCCCCATTTCGTATACAAATTCTTATTTATTTTATTAATGTGAGAGTGTATTGTTGATTATGATTTGATCAGGTGTTATAAAGCTACTACATATATAAGAAAATTTATAATTAAAATTAAAAATATTAAAAATGTAAGAAAGAAATTAAATTTTCAAATAACAGTGTATAAAAATTATTTAATTTAAAAAAAATAATTATTTAAATTATTAGAATAAGAAATTATAAAAATTAAATTTAATATAAATAATATATTAGTGATTAATTAATTAATTATAAAAAAAAAATTATGGCCGATCTTGATGATATTGATGATGTTAATGCCGAATTATTACAAAAATTAAAAACTATTGATATACGTAGTGATAGTTTAATACCACGGAATAATTCATTAAAATGTTGGAAATGGAAATGGAAAGATGCACTATCACATGTTGGATTATTAGTATCATTATCAATTTATTGTGGTGTTGGTGGTTATGTAAGTATATAATTATGATTTAGTTTTAATTAATATTTTATATTGTATAATATTATATTGTATATATTAATGGTATATGAATAAACTTCAGTTAAACTTTTGCCCATCAGTATATTGTGTGTGACCTCGCTGCTGGCATTTAATTTACTCGTATATTGTAAACTGAAACCTTATTACAAAGCGAAATATGAGTCTTCCACTTATCAGCTCATAGATATGAATCTATTTCCTCCTGAAAATTTTAAGTTATAGAAAGTTAATTGGAAACTGCAATTTAATATGTCGAACATAACTCCGGTAAACTGTTATTCTATGAAATCAGATTGCTTCACCAACATTTTGCTACAAAAAATAAAATGGTTATTGTATCGTAATAGCAAAAATTTTCAAATATTTTAATATATCTTCAATAAACAAATAAAATTTCAAAATGATTGAATTAATTTATATGAAAAATTCATTTATTTCTTAGAATTTCTGAACCTTATCATATTTATTATAAGACGAAAATATTATTCAAGCCTATGCCTATGATATGCCCTATAAAACTACTTGATATTCAAATGTAAACAAATCAAATTATTTTTCTTGTTTGAGAACAAACACAAAATTTCATATTAAATCAAATTTCATTTAAAAACAAAAAATTATTCAAAAATACACAAAATAAGTTTTAAGCTGATTAGGACGAAGAGAATTTTAGGATCATGAAATTATTTTCTTGAAAATTTCAATTCAATATTTTGTCAAGAATACCAAAATTTTATTCAAATTTTACTTGATGTTTGGAACAACACATTTCAGGTTATTTTCTTTTTTAAATGAATAAATTTGCAAGTAAAACAATTTTGCAATTTTTCAATTTATTTGAAACAACAAAAAAAAATCATCATCTTAAACGGAAAATAAAGCGGAAGGAACAACATTACACAAATCTGGTAATGATTTATTATTCGTCAAGGTCAGTCCAATTTGTCGAAATAGAAAACCTTCAATGAAATTAAATTAAAATAATTGAAAAAAGGAAATGAAATAAAATTAAATTTTAAGAATTTTTTAAATAAAAAATGCATTCTTTGGAAAAAAAAGCCCTTAAATCTATGTGCACATGAAATATGAATTTATCGCCAAATTCAGTTATTCAGCAATATACTTTTAATTGCTGAATAAAATTAATTTTCTTTCAGCATTTTTTACAATTTCCATTCTATTCCATTTCTTCAACTACCATTTATTTTTCCATATCAATTTAAAATAAAAATATTTTAGGCCATAAAATAAAATAATTCATTTTTAAAATTCTATTCAGCTTAAATATATGAATGACTGAATTCAATTTAATTGAAGTATGTGAATTTCAGAATTTTCATTTAATTAGTGTACTATTGCATTTCATGAAGAACTTTTTGAAAAGCTGTCTTAGTTTAATAGAATTAAATTAATTTAATAGAATTAAAATTAAAAAAAAAAGCTGGAAGGAAAATTTTACAATATTTGAATTGCAAATTATATAGGGTAATTTACAAATTGTAGGCCAAATCGAGAAACAAATTATAAATTATTATCTACTTGCATACATAAAAAAAATTTGTATCCCATGTAATTTAAATAATTTTTAAATTTTCTTTGTAATATTGCCTAAATATATAAGCAACCATAAGGTAATTTTTAGAGCCAATAACAGGTTAAAAAGCTCTATGAATACCTGTTATTAATATTGCATGTCAGTTCTTATATCAAAATATTTTTAATTTATTTTAACTTTAAATCCTTGACCTAATTTATTAAAATGAAAATATTTTTCTTTTTTTTAAATAAAACCAACAAAATTTATAACGTGAACGATTAAAAGTTGAAATTTTCTTTGGATTTATCAAAATTTTAATATCTTTTCCCTTTAATACTATCTACAGCAAATTGTTATTTACTAAAACTTTTATATGCAAGAAGTGCAAGTAAGAATGTGTGTATACCTATTAAAGGTATTCAAAAAAATTTTTAAGAAGTATTTTATGATAAAAAGCTGAATTAAATTAAAAAAAAAAATATTTTAGGAAATGTACTTAATGGTATTTTCCTTTTAAAAAAAAATATTTTCCATGTTATAATTTGAAAAATTTGATTTTTCCAGAAAATCTTTTTCATTTTCTTTCACATTACATACACATTATAAAGGTATATTGTTGGCGCCTGAAAACATGCAAACAAAAATTAAAAATTCATTTATTATTATTACTATTTTGGTATTACGAGTAATATGGTGTTGTGTATGTAGTGCATAAATGGTATTTTTATTTTCAGGTTAATTTCAAATGTAATTGAATATTATTTCTAGTGTACTCGTATTTTCTAGTATTGTAGATTAAAAATATTGTATAAGCAGTTTAACTCAAAATATTCTATGAATTTTGAAATATATGGGCCGCAATTATGCTATTTGTGGGAAATTGGTATTTAAAAATTCGAAACATATACTTCCCGTATCATAATTATAAATATGTAGTTATTTTACTAAAATTAATTTTTAATTAATAAGATGAATAATCCATAGAAACTCAAAATCCATATTGAGTAAATAGAAAATTTAATTACTGAATAATTAAGAATTATTTCACAGGACATTCTAACAAATCTAACAACTTCTTCGATTATCAACATAACATTATTGGATCTAAGGGATATACCTAAGTTCACGCTTGGGGTGTATTACTTATGCCAAAATATTCTCATACCCCTACATTTTAAATCAAGTGACCTTAAAGAGTTACGTACGTACGCAACGTATTTCATGACAATAAATGTCATAAAATACGTTGCGTATAACAATCAATATCAAATTTATGACAACAAATGTTAAACAACGCGATGTGATCAATTCGGTTACCTTATGTGTATACGTGTACTTACGTATCTTACACGTACTTCGCGCTACGCTCTTATTCAGGTAGATCCCTTAAATTAAAAAACAACAACTATAAGATTACAAAATTGTTTACGTATGTGTTAATAAATTTGACATCTTCTTTTTTGTTAAAAAAGCAGCAATTTTTTTTTAAAAGAAAATTTACGTACACATTTTCGATTTAAATTATTTAAATAAAAATTACAATAAATTAAAATTGAAAGTATTATGGAAAAAAAAATTAAAATTATTTATTTTTAAAATAATAAATTTGTATATGCAAAATTTTTTTTATTTATAACAATGAAATCATTATAATTTACTTAAAATAATTTTTGGGGGAAAAAAAGAAAATTCATAGTTTATAATATAATAAAATTTTTATTTCCGACATATTGATTTTATGTAAATACAAATACACATGTCTAAATAAAAAATTATGACGTGTACACATGTACATTCGTATAATGTACGTATACCCGTATGTCTACGTTCAAAAGTTCAGGGATGTGAATTACGTTTTAATTATAAGGTCATCAAAATTAAAAATTTATTTATTTCTTTTGAGTTTTTGATTTTATTGAAAATTTTGTTTTAGAATTATTATTTTTGAACACATAAAATGTTTAAAGTTAGTTCAATCAGTTAGATATCTCTTTTGTCGCTTAAAACTCATGAACAACGAACTGTCACGAACAACTTGTAATTCAGTTTTAATGTATAACTTCAATCTTAAAGTACAATCGTTATAAATTTTTATGTCAAAAATACTAAAAGTTACAAGAATTTTAAAATTCTAAAGAAAGTTTTTAAAATGATAACATATTGGTAGGCAACTAACACGCGCAAGTAATATAATGTACAGATTTTTATAATGTTAAATTTCAAAACTTAAGATGTACTCGATACTTTTAACCGCAAAAGCTGTTTGCAGTTGCGAAGATAACACTGTGTGCTATGGCAATGCTTTATTTTGAAAAATTTTTAATTTAAGCAAAAATTTTTCAGGCATCCGTTTGAAACAATTCCCTAGCAATACCTAATATTTAAAATGAAAGTTAACATTCTTATTGTATGTTTGTGTAATTAATTAAAAAAAAAAATTCGGCAATATTTTCAATACGACATCAGTTTGGCTATAATTATAATTTATTACGGTATGTTTTTTTTCTACCACAATTCCGCGGCAAAAATTCCATAGTATTTGCGGCAATTACTAATATAGTAAATATAGTAATAAATTTTAAAATAAATTTTTAAAAAATAAATTAAAATTTAATTATGTTTAAAGTAAATAAAAATTTTAAAATACTTCATATGCCCTTTCACCGTTGAAAAAAAAAAAATATTTTTTATTGTGAGTCCAAAAAAAGAAATGCGAAAACATGTGAATTTATTTTGAAAAAAAAAATTTTACAGTTAAAACGAAAGTTCCAGCAATATAAAATAAAAATTTTTACTATAAAGCAGGCGTATACTCAGATTTCTTTTAAATTCTATTGAAAAATTTTTTTATATAAAAATTAGAATAAAACTTTATAATTATAGAATTTATGGATAAAAATTTAAAATTCCATATTACTTTAATCTTTGATTGAAACTCGATCAAGTAACAAACATTCATGGATTCCAAATGCTGTGGGGATAAATTTGGATAAACTCACCAGTTTAAATAATTATGTTAATACATACATATGTATGTATGTACATATCACAATAAAATTGAATTGAAAATGAACGAACAGCAGCGATTGCTTTGGATCAGCTTTCAAATCTACAATGATTCAAAACTTCTTTACAAAAGAAAATTGGTGATCATATATATATGAGGTAATTACAAATCGAATTTAAAATTGAATTTGGGATCATTTCTTTTTAGTACTCGTATTGGTCTTGAAACAACTGTAACGAAATACCTAAAAGGTGTCCCGGAAAGAAGTATTTTTAGCTTTAAAAATAATAGCAAATGTAACCATCATCATTTACAAATGGTTTGTAAGGAATGTTAGCGCAACCTCAAACTTTCCCAATAAATTCAAATTTTATTATCATGTGCAAATGGAACATGTTTCAAATTACAATTTTCTAAACATGAAAT